CGCTGTTTATGAAATCCAACTTCACACGTTAACAATAACTCATGCAATTATGTGACAACTGGATGATAATTCCTGTAGCTACTTAATTGTGTGAGTAAATTGATATAGGAAAAAGCACTGGAGGATCTGTGTAAGCCTTTGGAGAACCTAATGCATCTGTGGCCATTGATCTAATGTTCAAAGTGTTACAAGTGAAAACCAGTACCAGAGATTTCTTAATAGAAACTGTTACATACTATAGTTATGATTTTTTTTTAATGACTAATGAGATAAAAGGTGGGACGTTAGTAAATCTAGAATCAAGACATGACTTAATGAATGTAAAAACAGGGGTTTTTCCTCAAGATGAAAATTTCAAGTTAACAGAAAAAAACATGCGTAGCTACAAAAAAAGATTCTTTGAACTGATTAAAACCAAGATGAACAATGAGCAGAACTATGGGATGTGGGAAGAAAAGCGTTTCCCATTATTTTTTAACCATTTTGAAAGCAGTGCTGTGAAATTAGCATGCAGGGGAACTGGGAAACTGCTGTTTATTGATGATTTAGCTGCTGAGTCAAATGGCGATGTGGCAATGTCTCAGTGTAAACATGGATAATAACAAGCAATACAAGCAAAACAAACATGAGCTCCTTCAGATCGATAGTCTTAAATGACTGAGTCAGTCCCCTAAGCTCAACCCAACAGCTACAGCTAAAGCCTAGCAAAGTAAATACTATGTTTTCCTCTGGGGAGCCAACACAGTATTAGGTGTCCTTGGGTTAGACAGACAATGACTGCAACAATTAATTAAATATAGATTGACTTTTATTTTTTGGAGTTTGAGTCAAAGATATTAACATCTTAGCTAATGTTAGCTAAAACAAGTGTAAGATAAAGGTTCCAGATAACACAGCTACAAAAACACTGTGTGATGCTAGCAAAGCACTAGATTAATATTTAGGATTACAGATAAGGTCTCAGTCCTGAATCATATTTAAAGTTGCTATTTCCTAAGTATTATTCATCAAGCTGACCATCATGCACATTTAAAGCTGAATAAAATGTAATTTTCAGTGGCAGCAACAATGTTACGAGGCTGCAACAATTATTCCTTAAAACAAATGCTGCTCTGTGGTCTTTCTTGACTATAACACGGAGCATAATTAACAACATTTAAATCACACTGCATTCACTCGCAACAGAGATCATAAACTCGGGTAGCAGACGACAGTTTTAATCATTAGAGCAGGTTTAAGGAATCATGAACTGCTTTCAACTTTCAGAGTTGTACACTATGTTAATCTTTTTTATACAGTCTATGACCTAAAAAGACTAAAGCTGAGCTGCTTCGGCCAAACTAAGTATAACGCTTTGGGTGGAGGGAATTCCCTGTCTGATCTAGTGCCACCCAGAGGTCACAGCCACAGAAAGTGGAACATGTGGCCTACTTTTAGGACAGGTTAACTAATGTGATCATTGTTAAATTTGATAAGAATGTTTTGTTTACGACTGCAAAACCAATGCGATGCTTTAAGTGTCCCACCGGGTATGCTCCCGAAAGTCCGGATTTGCCACTGACTGAGGAGGATGTGTCAGTATTAACTGTTCAAAAAAACACAATTGAGGCAACAGGTCAGCGCAGTAGGTTAATAGTTCATTTCTGTTGTTAACGGGCTGTTTAACTTATTTTCCAAAGCCTGTTGTCTCCGAGGGGACTCATTGTAATGCACTAAATATAAGTGTGACTCAGCTCCTTGGCTGTAAATCACAAAGTAGCTGTCAGCTTTCAAATATCTGATTCTGAAAGAAATTCCTCATCTGCAAAGTTTCATTGTGGATCTTTCACTGGCTACAAACATTACCATAACTGTAACATTATATGATAGCAGCACTGCACCAGTGTTCCTAGCTGAAGACGTTGCAAGGACAGCAGCTGTGTTGCACCACCTTCTCCTGTCTTAGCCGTGAATGTCTAACTTATTTGACACAGTGAAAAGTGAGCGAAGATTTCTCATCTCCAAGCAGGCCAAAGCAGATTATACGGACAACTCATGTTGCTCCACAAAACAGATTAACACAGAGTAATTACTTTTGGCATGCTCGCTCCGTAACACTTTAATCTCTCCGGAACAGCGGTTCATTTCAGGGGAATGCTAAGGGTCCTCAAAGCTGCTGTAGTGGTTTACCTTAATCCCTAACTCTGCAGTTTTGTTGAGTCCAGTTCATGCACGGATAGCAGACATGCAGATTTGATAAGAACCCTTCCTCGGACAAGGACTTTACACCAGGAAAAGGATGGACCCCAAAACTGGAGGGAGTTGTAAATTTTCTTTATATTTTTCCACTTTTGTATTTCCAACTGTGTCTCTCTTCATGCTAGCACTTGCTAACAGTTTCCACCTTAGATTAGGAAGCAACAGTGGGTTAAACAAAGACATTTCTAAAATGTGAAGTTAACTAGGGATCTATCTCTTAATGTAAATTTACATATCACCTGAGAGGTAGGGATGATGCTAGGTAAAGGGCTTTTTGGTTTTGTTTTACTCTGGCTGCTTTTTCCACGTGACAGCGTGATGTTTCGAGGGTAGGTCTGGAATTCCGCTAGTTCTGAACTATTCGTGTTTGTCAAAAGTTCACTACTAGCAGAACTCAGATCTGCTCCCGACTATCGACTGGTATCTCCATGACCATAGTCACTAAGAGGTCTGGTTTATTCATTCGCTGTCTTAGGTAATTTCCAGTCATTAACTTGCAGTGACAGGAAATGACTGCAAATTGCTCCACTGGTGTGACGTGAACCAGCTCCATCTTTGCCAATCTTTACTTTCTTGTGTTTACTTCACACCAGATAATTCTGATTAATTTCAAATCTGTGTTTGAGGAGGATTTGATGATCAAAGTTTTTACTCCTTCTCTCCTGCTGTACAGATGTGCAAAAAAAGAGATCAATTCCAGAAATATTAGTATGATGTGTGATTGTGTGACTTTCACTTCTTAGCAACAATGCTTCTTAGTAATTTTAGTTTTTGGTATTTTGGCAAGGACTGGGGTTTTTTTTTGCAAAGGGTTAACAGAGTTATAGATCCAAAATGTAACTTGCAATTTTCATTTAGGTTTTTGATTTTTTTTTATATATATTTTTTTTTTAAAAAGCACCAAAGGAGTAGTTATAGTTCCATTTTTAGATTTGTTTGTGCTTTCAGTTGCAGAAAAACCCTGACATGAGTCACTGTGAGGTCAACAAACCCCCTTACATCAGTTAATATTTTGATTTCAAGCAAGCAAAAACAGAGAATATTTGGCTGCAGCTGCCTGAAAGATGTGACCTTCAACCATCACAATCATCTGGAATATAGAGTTTCTTATATGCATGTGTAGGTACATATAAGAAACTGCATATGCATGTTTTGATCTAATCGAACATTTGTTATGATTATGGTATGGGGGTGGATGCCTTAGAGGCACAGTGTCCTCTGATTGCTTCCCCATCAGCATGAATTTGAAGAAATCTACCATTTTATGAGGAAAAGGGCTTTCTCTGCAAGAAAAATCGTCTAGTATTTTTATTTTACAAAGATAAAAGTTGATCTTTTGTGTCTCATCCCCATTCGTTCATAATCAATAAAGACCATCGTACAAGTACACTCTAGGTGAATTGTAAACCAATAGTGCTGCAATGGGATTAACGGGTTCTCTGTTAATCTCTATTGGGACTGCTGTGAAAGGTCATTAATTATGACACTATCTGTAGGCCAAATGCTGCAGACCCTCACCTTTTGCAGCACAGTAGCAAATTAACAATTATATTTCAATTTAACACACAAAGTGGGTGTTTGCTCAGCAGACTCAATAACATTAAACACTTACTGAAAACTGTAATGTGGCTTTTGCATTATGTTGGATTTGCATACAAATGTCCTGAAAATAAATGTAACCATTTTCTTTACCATATTTAGCTGTGATTGATGCAGGGTTTCAAATAGGGACTCGGAGATAAATGCTGCTTTCTGAGCATCTAGAAGGTATGAAACAAATCCATGAGCTGTGAATAAATCAGAAGAGTGAGGTTGGTTTGCATCATTGTTAAAGCTTTTTTCTTTTCTTTTCACCGTTCTATTTCAATGTGAATGTTTACAGGAGTGTGTTTCTGCTGTACTTGTCTTCACTCAATAACTTTTACTGGCTTGCTAGGTGTGTGCATGTGTTTGTGTTTCTGCATGAAGAGTACACCACGAAAGACTAAACTAAAGTGCGAAACTAGAACCATTTCCTTCACTTCAATAACATTGATGTGCATTTGTGGATTTTCCTTTTACCTCAAGTATATCCCGCTGATCCTATGAGCCCATCTATGTGATGAGCTGATCCAGGAGCAGTAAATGTTGTAAATATAAGCAGCAACATTGTGTCCAGTTTATTGGTTTTCTCTTGCACTACACCACTATACATTAAAAAGATAAACAAATATATTATTTCGGGCTTCCTATAGTAACTGCAGCACAACTTATCAAACATATTTACACATATTTCTATCATACTGTAAGTATTTCTGAAACCTAATATGGGTTTTGATGACCTGAATGTTATACTGAAAAAAAAAACAAACAAACTAAAAACTAAACAAAACAAGATTGTTAAAATAAAATATAATGCTAAAAAGGTATGCTTTAGTATCATGTCCATCATTATGTGCAGTGATGAGCCTTTTAGAGACACAAATAGTTGCTTCATCAATGAAATTTATTGCATTTTTTTTTAAACATTTTTACTGCATAAAACTATGTATCTGTAACAATAGCAAAAATACGTTTGTCACATTATTAGCATTTCTGTGCTATGTTCAGTATGCGAGCTGTCCAAATGGGGCACGAGTAACCTATGAAGGTGCAACTTTAGAGACTTCAGTGGTAGATTGACTTGATGACTCTTCATCGTCACCTCCGCTCATTCCCAGCATCTGCCTTAGACACGAGCGGAACTAAAAGAGAATAAAGAGGAAGGTTTTGGTCACTTCTTATTAATCTGTTTAGTAGTCCTTGTAAAAAGCCATCTTAGTCACATTAAAGTGTCTCAGGGGAGATGGAGGGGACTGACAGACCAGCACTGAGTGCAGCATTAGCATGTTACCAGCAGTGATGGATAAAAGCAAAAGCTGGCACAACAAAAGTCAGTGTGATTGGAGGGCAGTAACTTATTATTTACTCCCTCTTGATGTTTGTTTTTTTTAATTTTCATGAAAATTGACAATAAATGAGTGTCTTCTTTTTGTTCCATGTTTATTTAGGCTCAACTGCCCTTCAGATTTTGTCTTGGAGGATGGGTCAACCCTTTTGTATTTTCTAACAGCCACCATTAGAGGGCGTCTGTGGCTGACTCAGTCACAAGCTCAAATAAAAACAAAACACAAAGCTGATGTTCCATGTTTGTTACTCTGCTTAGACTAAGCAAAGCTTCAGTTTAGTGAAATGGATGCAAATATAGGCCAAGTTAAATTTATTTCACTCCGAGCTGCCAAAGATTTTTCACCTGCTTATTGAGGAGGATGTAAATCATTGGGTTGTAGACTGTGGAGGCCTTTGAGAAACAGGAAGGAATGGTGGCCAGTCTCAGGTCGAATGGCTGCCCACGGTTATTCACAACCCAGACGGCAAAGGAGGCATATGGCATATAGCACACCAGAAAGCCCAGCACCATGATCACCACCATCCTGGTCACTTCCTTCTCTGCCTTCTGGGTGGAGGCAGACTCTGCTTGGGCCTTTACTGCCTTTTGAGACAGATCATTTGTCAGAATCAGCATCAGACTGGAAAATTGTAAGTATAAAAATATATTTTTTCCTTCATTTCCACCCCTTCCCTGGTTTGTTTTGCCTTCTAGTATTTCTCTTTAATAAACAAAACTACACACAACACAATCGCCCTAAACATAGGATTCGACAATTGCTAACCAATCTCATATTGCCTACCGCTTTCAGCATGAACAGCAGCTGTGAGTAGCAGAAGACGATGGTGGAGAAAGGGACAGCAAAGCAGAAGCAGAAGAGGAACATCACGTAGGATTCATTGTTAAACTTGTTGCCTGTTGTGTACCAGTCTGGGCCACAGGAACACTGCATGCCCTCTGGGATATACCTAGAAAGAGAAACAATTATTTTCCGCTGTGGTATATGTATACATATGTTATTAGCCCTAAGAGAACCATTTACATCAAGGTTAGAGCAAATGAATTATAAAGTGCTTAATCTATATGTACTCACCTGCTCCATCCAAACAGAGGTGGAAGTGCAGCGCTCAGACCGCAGACCCAAGTCAATCCACAGCATGCTATAGCGTGGCTGGACCTGAAGGCAAAGTTCCCAAGTGGCTTGCACACAACCAACCATCTTTCAAATGCTACCACAGCAAGAGACCACAGGCTAACCATACCTGCAACAGGACAAAGATAATGATAACTACGTTAATATTTAGAAACAGCAGCTGCTTTTTATATATTGGCTCACATAAGCACATAACCAACAACTTCTTTAACAACAACAGTGCCTTATGTGGTATTCTTTGAAAAAAAGAACATTTTGGTCCTCAAAATAAAGTTCGCTTTATATAGTACCATACGGTATGCAATGATATTGGCACCAGTATACTGATAGCTCTATTTCTCCTACAAACAAGGACACAATATGTATTTTATGTGTCATGGGAAAAACAAATAGCTTATTATTATTATCATTATTATTATTGCAGTTCAGATAAAAAAAAAAATCCCTATTGAGAGCGCTTTGGTTAACAAAAACTGGCATAGGTCAAATCTCTCACACGCATCATTTTAATTCAAGTGTAATAATATGATGCATGATGCAACCCTTTTTTCTTACTTAACAAAGTCTATAATTATGCTCCTTACCACCAAGAGTTGCTGTAAATCCTTCAATCTTGCATGCAATTGGACCAGGGAACATGTATTTAAAAGCAAAACAGATGAAGCAGGTGAAAGAGCCCGTAGAAGAGACCAGGAGGTTCGCAACAGCCAAGTTCACCAGGATGTAGTTTAGATGAGACCGGAGCTTCTTGTATTGGACAGTACATGCGATAGTGAGGACATTGATGATTGTGCCGGCCACCCACAAGAAGAACATAAATGCTGACATGGAATAAAAGATCATCGGGCTTCCTAAATGGTCCTGGGGAACCAGGTATGGGCTGAAGGCTGTGATATTGTTGGTGTCCAGAGGGATGGGGATCCAGAAGTCATCCTGGAACTCGGTGGGACGATTTCCTCTCATTTTCTTAGATGGAGTTTGCGATCAAAATCTATATCTAACGATATTAAATAAAAAAAAACTTTAAAAGGCTTCAAATAAACTGCATCTAATTTCAAATAGTACTCAGAGATTTCATTTTTCCTTCCGTCTTATATCTGAGATGCTCGTCTGTCTGAAGCGGAGTTAACGGCGGCATTTATAGGAACTTTGATGATTGCTAAGGCTCAACATAATTGGCTAAAGGACAGGATTTAAAGCTTTCCTTGCATTCCGATAACAACATATCCTACCCTTAGCTAATACACAGATTACTATCGCATTACCAGACTTGGCAAGGATCATCTCATTACATCCTAGTGTAAGGGCAGTGTGTTTGTGAACCATATAATCTGATCCACGGGGACTTCCAAGAGGTCAGTGCGTGCATCTCCCCCTCAGTACTCCAGGTTGTGTTGATTTATCCTTTTTTCTGGCACAATTATTTTTCACCAAGAAGGAGTAGTCAGACTTATGGAAAAAGTTTTTCTGTCTCTTCATCCCTTATCTTGCTAACTACTCATCAGATCTACTTTATAGTTGGTGGTTACAGGTCCTTTGAATGAGTCATTGGTCTCTTTTTGGGGGTCTTCCCTGTATTGATTGGCAACATTATCAAACCTTTAAGATCAAATTTCTTCCCCTGCCGAGGATATCACATTCCTCTGTGACCTGTTAATTATGTCACCACTTCAGACAGCATAGTTTATATAAACTTCCACTGCAGTGAACACCGCTCTAGGCAAAATGTTAAACCACTGACAGGTGAAGTTTGTAACACTGATAATCTTGCCAGAAACTTTTTTGAACCATTGGATTTTGGTATTTATGTGGATGTTACTTTTGTTTGTTCCAGAACATGCAGACCCCCCCTCCCCCCAGCACTGGAAGCAGTCTGACCCAGCAGGACAATGTCCAGGAGTAGGTACTGTCACAAAAACATCTTAGGGTTGGCTTGAGTTACAAAACAAAAAGTTCAAGCCGTTGACCTGGCACCCAAATTCCACAGATCTTAATCAGATGAAGCATCTGCCTATACTTAACCTATGAGTCAGGACTGTCTTGGTATCCATCCATCCATCCATCCATCCATTGATTTTCCTCCACTTATCCAATTCTAGATTAGGAAGGTGGTGACTGGAGTCTGTCCCAGCTACAATAGGGACAGATCACCAGTCTGTGTATTGTATATATTTTATTTTCTGCCTGTAAACTCCATTTTGGCAGTTTGCAATGAGTGACAAACTTGCAGACTCACTTTTAGAAGCCATGCAACAAAAACACTTGCTCATCCTACTCTCAAACCTTTACTTTTACTACATAGTAAATGTTTTATATAGCGTGTCAGAAAAAAAGCCCTTTGCAAGCAGGAAAGAGAACAGAATCTCCAGCTTGAGAGCGGTCCGGTTCTTTGAAATCACAAAAAGCAGCACTGTCTGTTCATCACTGTCATGCAAGTGGCTTACATTTTGCTGCACACTTCTTTTCTGTAGTTTTCATCTACATGTAAATATTTACGGTTAGCCGGAAAAGACGAGGGCTGGTGGAGTGTTTTAGAACTATTGCTTTAGGAAAAGTAGAAATAAAACACATCTCACTTCACATCAAAATATATTTAGCTTTAGTTTGTGTTTTTTTTACTTGATCTATAGTCATGCATTTTCAGAAGCTGTCTTGTGAGTAGGGATGGGTACCGGTATCCGGTGCCATAATGGCACCGGTTCTGACATAAACGGTAGTAACCAGAGCGAAGAGCAGCGCACATTTCGGTGCTTTTTTTTCCTGAAATGTCATACACTTTGGATTCTAGCCAATCATTTTACCTTTGCAAGCGTAGTAGGCGCGTCCAGGTACGTACGTTCTTTTAGAGCAGAGCTACAGATTAAAAATGCCCAAGGCGAAGCGGTCAAAGTCTGGCTGTACATCACAACAAAAGACACAAACTCAGCAGCCTGCAACAAGTGCTTTAAGGTGATACTGTGCAAAGGAGGTAACTCTTCGAATCTGATAAAACACCTGGCGACATATAGCATTTTGTTAAAAGCCGAGAAATGCGCCGTATTTGATAGCTTGCTGCGAGACCTCACACCGTGCACATCTACTGCGGGTGGGTTGCCTGTTATCGGACCCGGAGTTAGCAACAACCCCCAAGAACCCGAAGAGGAGAGTCCTGGCCCCTAGCCCTGCCAGTGTAGCAGAAATGATGACGGATGTTCTTCTCTGCGTGAGTAGCTTAATGTTGTTTGTGTGTAATTTACGTTGAGTAGGCTAACCACGTAAGGTGAACTAGCAAACACCGTCGTAGTTACATGCGGCTGTCTTCTTGTTTGATGGCAGATACTCCCGTCACCTAACCAACTAAACAGCTAAACATGAGAGGTTTTTGGACCAATTTTGTGTTCTCCATTCTTTAAGCACCAGTTCGAGCACCGTTTAAGCACCGGGACCGTTTCAAAAGTACCGGTTTGGTACTGGTATCAGATAAAACCTAAGCGATACCCATCCCTAGTTTTTAGATTTCACTATACAAGCACTGCTAGCCCTGCTTGCCCCAACTGAAAGACGCTGGTTGTGTCTTTCAGTTTTAGTTCAGTGGTTGTGTGTGATGACACTAGATGACTAGGGAATATTAACTAAGCAGGATGGCCCATCAAAAAAAATCTTCCTCTCACCCCTGGGGGCGGTCTATCCTATCGGGTCCTCTACCAGAGGCTTGGGAGCTTGAGGGTCCTGCGCAGTATCTTAGCTGTTCCTAGGACTGCGATCTTCTGGACAGAGATTTCCGATGTTGTTCCTGGGATCTGCTGGAGCCACCTAGCGCTCCGATTACCACTGGGACCACTCATACCTTCACCCTCCACATCTTCTCGAGCTCTTCTCTGAGCTCTTGGTATTTCTCAAGTTTCTCGTGTTCCTTCTTCCTGATGTTGCTGTCATTCAGAACCACTACATCCATCACTATGGCCATCTTCTTCTATTTGTCTACAACCACTATGTTCGGTTGGAGCCACCATTTTGTCTGTCTGTATCTGGAAGTCCCACTGCTCTGTCATTCTCCACCACCCTCCTGGGCATCTTCCATTTTGACCTTGGGACTTCCAGGCCATATTCTATGTTTGTTTTGGTTTGTTTTTTTTTTTAATTTCCAAACCTATAAGGTGACAATTGATACAGGTGGACAGCTAGTTTTTACTGCTGGTGACAGAGACCTGGCAGACCCTGTGACCCTGTCTTTGTTTGGATAAGTTGACCAAACATAGCAATTTCACTGACTTCTGGTTGAAAAGTCCTTTTGCATAAAAGTCTTTTGTGAAAAATCCTACAGCTCCCGTGATTGATGCTAGCACTTTTCTGAAGAATTCATGGTCACAGTTGTTTTTCTAGTCTTATGAAAGACAACATGATGTTGGTTAAACTGTGGTCTGAGAGTCAGAGAGGATGACAAACAAGGGTAAGGTTAAGAACAGATCTACCTAACTGAACAGTCACGTTGCAGTTACATGTGTATCCGATGTCCACCAGTGTCTCAGCCATGCCCACTCCTTCACTGATCATGTCCACTTTCAAAATACCAAGATGGCTGAAGGATATGACTATGGCTCATGGTGCTTATGTGAAATACAGATTGTTATGTTATAAAACACCTTTCTGAACGATATAATATTTTGTATTTTGGTTGCATGAGAGTGACCTGAACGAAATAAGTTTAAGACAATAAGACAAAAACATTTTGCTAATAAAAGTGCAAATACATATTAATCACACGCTAAATAGCATAAATAATAAATATAACATTTGAAATGATAACAAAAGTACTTTTATATAGCACACTATAATATACTCTCATAGTGCACTTTTTAACAACTTCTAAGTGTTGGAGAAAAACACAGAGCAAGTGAAAACGTGTTTTCAGTCAAGCACAGAGATTCAGTAAAGATTTTGTGTCTGTTTTTTATTTGTATTTTCATTTTGCAGATTATTCCTACTTAAATCGTAACATTTTTACATATGATAAAATACATGTACATTCTTTGTAATTTACAGTTCAGAAATCAGCAAGCATTGACGTGTTGCCTAAGCAGGCCCGACTTTGGAAACTTCAGTCACCGATTGTGTTGTTGAGCTCTCCTCCTCACCTCCTCCCATCCCCATCATCGCTAACATACATGTACGGAACTGCAAGGGAAAAACATATTTGTAGATTAAATCTCCTGTGCAAAGTTATAAAGTATCATAGCTTTTATGCATAAAAAACACCTCAATTATTTATAGCTTTAGGACCACAGCTAAGATATGGTACAGCCTATATAAAGTTAAGAAAATAGGTTGGTTAGTAGACTTTTGCACCAAAAACATCTTCAAAGCACGAACATCTTGCCCAAGGACACGTGTATGGACTGGAGTCGCCAGGGATCCAACCACTGACTTGTTGCTCTACCTTCTAACAGAGTCACAGCAAGGAAACTGAGCCATTGACCCCCAGATTACCCCTACCTACAACCCCTTTTATTTACATTCCTTCTAAATGGGACAAACAATTAACCAAACATGTTGTTTAAGTTGGATATAAAATAGTCACAGTAGTGAGATACACACAAATAAAGTAGAGCATAGATTCAAAGCTCCTGCACATCAGATAACTTTAAAACATGTTGTTTGGTGTATTAAAAACCAGGAGAAGACAACCCATTTTCTTCTAAATAAGTTAGTACTTACTCGGCACAGCATGTAACTGACCTGTTTATTAAAGACCACATAGATAACAGGGTTGTAGACTGCTGAAGCCTTTGAGAAACAGGACGGTATAGTCGCCAATCTCAGATCGAATGACTGCCCACGGTTGTTCACAACCCAAAGAGCAAAGGAGGCATATGGCAACCAGCACACCAAGAAGCCGAGCACCATGATCACCACCTCCTGGTCACTTCCCTCTCTGCCTTCTGGGTGGAGGCAGACTCAGCTTGGGCCTTGGCTGCCTGTTAATGTGGGATTGATCAGGGTCATGTTGGAAAGGTTATTTTGAAAAAAAATCACAAGTCATGTGAATAAATAGAAGAGTTTACGTTGTACTTTGATCTTGCATATATTAATAATACTAAGCGTGTCAGTTTGAATGGTAAGTAGATCTGGCCTGTTAGATTTAGGCTTTGATAGGATATAAGAGAGCATTTATTTAAGTATACATGCTTCTCAGTCATCAAGAGAATAATTTCAGTAGACCAAAACCATCTCATTTTGTCTCACCATTTTCAGTGTGATGAGCAGCTGGGAGTAGCAGAAGATAATCGTGGTCAAAGGAACAGCAAAGCAGAAGCAGAACAGGAACATCACATAGGACTCATTGTTGTATTTGTTGTTTGTGGTGTACCAGTCTGGCCCACAGGAGCACTGTAGGCCTTCTGGAATATACCTGCAAGGAAAAGTAGAAGCACGTTGATTGTACAGTTCTACTTAAATGCATTGTGTTGCCAGCTGATTTTCTGAAGTATGTTGTGTCTGTTGCTTACCTGCTCCATCCGAACAGTGGAGGAGCTGAGGCAATCATTGCAAAAAACCAAGTGAATGCACAGCAGGCTATAGCGTGGTCGGGCTTGAAAACAAAGTTACCGAGCGGCTTGCAAATCACAAGCCATCGCTCGAAAGCTATCACAGCAAGGGACCACAGGCTTACCATACCTGCAATGACAGGAAAACCCTTTAACTCCCTCTAGAAATCAGCATAAATAAGTCTGCAGCCAATGACTTACCACCGAGTGTTGCCATGAAACCTTCGATCTTGCATGCTAGCGCACCAAAGATGAAATATTTGAATGAAAAACTGCAGCAGGCAGTGAAGGAGCCCACAGTGGACACAAGAAGGTTTGCTGCTGCCAAGTTCAACAGGATGTAGTTGAGGTGGGATCGAAGTTTCTTGTATTGGATGGTGCATGCAATGGTAAGGGCGTTGATAAAAGTGCCAAAAATAAATATGAATAACATGAAAACTGCCATGGCGTAAAAGGTGGCAGTATCCCCCAAGTGGTCCTGTGGAACCAGAAAAGGGCTAAGTGACGTGATGTTGTTTGTGTCCAGGCTGACAGGTATCCAGAAGTCTTCTGGCAGCTCCATATCACGTTTACTCCTCATTTTGCTTATTTCGAACAACGTTCTCCTGCTGATGTTACGGCTCAAATTAGGTATCGCGCACGCTCTGCCAAATAATAAATTTAAGGAGCAGACATGAACGCTGTGCGGTTAGGAATTCTACCGTCTCTTGTCTTTATTGGCTGTGTGCGTCGTATTGACGTTTATAAAGGGTTTCATGACACTGATCGCTATAAAGTGGTTAATTGATTATTTAATTGACTAAGTAATTAATTTACTAATTTAATTGCCTTCATAGCTTTTCATTTTATTAACTGGTGTTAATGCTTCTGTGGTTTCCAGTTCTGTGTTGCGTGCTGTGATGCTAAATTCCGAGATTTGGTTATTTGACAGATATCTGAATTAACAAGTATTTGAATCTGGGAACAAACACAAGCATATTTGGACTTCCAAAAATCTGTGCAAACCTAGATATGTTTTTGGCATCCAAACTTGGTTAAAGAGGTTAATCCCTCTTTCCTAAGGAAGTTCCCTGCCGGTCTTCACCTGCTAATCTGGTTTCCAATCACATTATATTTGATAATCTCTTGTTAAGTGGATTACACCCTATTTTGCATGGGGATTTAACTCAAGCTTTGTGTTACCTTCTTGGCATTTTGCTGCCTTTACTGAGCTTAAGGGAGCGTCTTTGTAGTACTAGCATGCAAGATTGAAGGTTTTATGGTAACACTCTCAGGTACGATTTAAGCTGGCGGGTTAATCGCAGAATTTGCTCATTGTTGTCCCAACGATCCGATACAGAGGAGGATGTGCATAAGCTTACTTAAGAGGAAGAAAGTTAGTGGAGGAAAATAGAATTATTAAACTAGCTTGCTCAACACTTTCTTATTTCTAACTTTATTTCATTTTAATGGGCAAAAAAGTTATAGACTATTTCATACAGGAAAAACAAAATTGCATAACCTCAGCAATTTGGTGTGGATGTGAATATTAACAAAATACAGCTATGATATGCACAGCCAGTCAGCAGCAGTTTATAAAAAATGACATGCATTTCCACTCGAAGCAGGTCCAACTTATGTTGAGGAGTCTTCATCCTTATTTCTGCTCATCCTCAGCATCTTTATTCAGTTTTTTTTAACATTGAAAAAAAGATGTTGATAAAGATTTCTGTTTCTATAGTTTATTTATATAAGCTGCTGTTTCCTGATGCATTGCAGCTGCTTTAATAAGACATTGTAATTTAAACCTGTTTGTTAGTTTATATTATTTTTGGGATCTTTTAATTATGGAAAGGAACACTAGGGACTTCTACAGACTGCAAGTTTCCAGAATGTGGAGACACGTGATGTCCATGCTGTTCTTTTGTGTTTGCCAAAAATTGGCAGGAGATCCTAAAGATCTGTTTATCAAGGACAACACAGACAACTAGGTTAAAGACTGCAGGGGATCTTGGAAAAGACAGACACTATAGAAGCAAATCTCAAATCAAAAGACTTATGGTGGTTGTTCACAAGTACAAAAGCAAAGCTGGGATGTATCATTTCAGGGTGGACGCAGATCCAGCTTGGGTCTTTGCTGCCTGTCAAGTAAGAAAACAAGATGACTTACATGGCTTCTGCATGTTCAGCAAGTCACCCATCTGCTTGTTTCATTACAGAAAAATGACCTTTGCATAGTATGTACCTGAGTTTGAGAGGTGGCCCTAAGGGACTAGAAAGACACTGAAGTGTGTGATTTTGTCCACATCCACAGGAATAGGGCAGTTTTTGTGTGATGTTTAGTGCAGCATCTATTGTAGGTGTGCTGGAGTAAAGCAGCAGAGGGAGTCTGAATACATTTACAGGCCTGTCAAACATTTAAATACTTAATTAATTCAATGATTAAACAATTATTTATTCATTAAGTAAGCGACAGCATTAAGAGGGTTGTGGGTTTGAAACTGCATGGGGCCTTCCTCTGTGGAATTGTTCTTACTGTGCATGTGAGGCTTTTCTCAGGAAGTTCACCCCATATAACAAAAACCTATATGACAAGTTAATTAGTAGGTCTTAATTGGAATTTTATGTAACTTTGATCTTGTCACTCTCTGAAGTTGGCAGTCACCCTGTCCAGTCTGTACTCTGCCTCTCACAGTATCAGCTGACTTGACCCCTATGACTGTAACTGGATGTATTGATGGATTTATCCAGAAAAGGAAAAAGCAACTCCTCCAGGAATATCACCAGAAGCAAGAAATATAAAAATGAAAAATTAGAAGCCAATATATGTTTTTAGGGTATGCTCAACATAATGAACATGAAGTAATGCCTATCTACTGACAAACATGTTTCCACAGATAAGCAAACACGTTAGCGTGTACCAATGCACAAGATGGTTCAATTAGCTCCACTATAGAGTTGAAGGACACTGTTTTGGGATCTGCTAATCCAGGTACCAACGCTATTACGACAGCAAATCACATTCAGTCTGATCTTGATTAACCTGCTTGCTGTTAGTATTAGGATGGATGATCTTGACCTTCATTATCGTATCAGGCTCAAGAAAGGATTATCCGATGTAGAGGATGGATCTCTGCAGACGGCAGAGTATGGGCATTTTTTCCCCACTTCAGAACAAAATACAGCAGGACAGACATAATGTTGATAGTCTCTTCATGACAAGTAGGTGAAGAAAGTGGGGAATATTGTCTTTGTGAGTTCTACTGTGGAAATGCACACTCACTGTAAAAAAACAACAACAACAAAGAAACTGTTTAATTTAACAGTGTTTTCCTATTAATTCTCCAGGAATTTAAATGTATTAAATATCAACAAAATTACAAATATAGACTGTGGACTTACAGGTCAAACCTGTAACTGTGAATGACAATTTTTTTTCCACATAGAAACACTATAAAAGAAAGACTATTCACAAATTCAGCTCGATTTCAGAAATATATAATGTTTTAATACTGTAAATACTGTACATATAGGACATTTGATGCAATGAGTGCAAATTAATAGCAAAGGAAGTTAAAGTATAGGTTCTGAAATTTTGCATACATTTGTTTATTATTTAGCAGATATCTTGTGTAATTATAAAGCTTTTACAGTAAAATAATGCTTTAGCTGTTAAAGCTGTACAGTTCCTAAACAGTAACAAGTAAACCCGCAATCTCATTATTGTAAAAGGACATTTGGGCCAACCTTAAATCAGACAACTAATGCCAGAGTTTCACAAAGACTTGACCCAGACTGCTTTCTTTATTTGACAGATGTTGTTGTGAATGTGAATGACACATACAGTACAAGTACATATGAGAATTCTAAGGACTGTCTGCTGTACATGTGTTTATTATAAAGTAGTATATGTATATTTTTTTAAAATAAAATTTATCAAAAATAGGTCATAAACACATTTAGTGTACATGTTGGTGGTTAGCACCCTGCCATCATCTCTGCGCATCCTCCACCTGTGCCTTCAACACAAACACCTCTTATGCCCACCCAGCTCAGCCTGCTCTGGCCTGTGACGGTTCAGTTTTGGACCTTAAATAATAAAAGCATTGAGAACATTAAAAAAAAAGTATCCTACTTTGCTCCCTAGACTGCTGTCATTTCCTTATGAGTCATTTTATTTGGGGCAATGCCATTGTAATGAGCTTCTGCCAGCATTAAAGAAATAATATCAGTCTCCACCAGGTGGCATGCCATCCAGCTTCAGACTACCATACAAACCCACCAATCCATCCTCTCGAAATTTAGCGTATGAGAGGTCCAGAATTATTTACCGTAGATGTCTTCTACCCCTAGATTCTTTACTTGGGACAATAACATGAAGTGAGGTAAATGGTTGTCTGTCTCTCTGTGTTTGCCCTGCAACACATTAGTGATCTGTCCAGAGGGTATCCTACCTTTTGCTCAGTGTGAGCTGGATAGGCTTCAGCCCCTGCAACCTTAAATTCAAACCAAAGAAGATGGATGGACTATGGGTGGGTGGATGATGGATGGATATTATTGGCAGGTGATAGACGTACATTTAGGCAGTTACCATTCCAAACAGAAGGCACAAAAGTAGCCTGTTAAGAAATAGAATGGATAATTCCTTTGTCCAGACTCTTTCATCTGCAACAAGGTAAACCTAAAAGATGTGTTTTGACGCAAAAGTGATCCTCAGTCCATTGCACTCCAGTCTAAGATTAACTGATTTTGTATTTTCCCATAAATAATAATAATAATAATAATAAATCTCACCACCTACTGATGCGGAAAAGGTGCAAATGGTGCATACAAACTCACCAGACTGCAAGAAATGTAGTGGCTGTAATAAAAGTAACTGGGTTTATTCCACCCCAATACCTAAATGAAACCAGCGCCCATGTTTGCATTTTCTTTGTCACTGTTGTAATTTTCCATCAGGTTAACATGGCTTTGTGTGTGATTAAGAAAGCTAACATCCATTTAGAACAGAGGGTAAATGTAAGACCATCAAGGACGTGACACTGTTCTTGTCACTGTGTTACTGTACACTGGTGTGACCCTCCGTGCAAGTCCCTAAAATGAAGCATTTGGTAGAAAAAAAAGAAAACATTTAGGAACATGTTCTGAAGATGCTCAGTGAAGATCTGTGGACGATCCCAGGATGTGTGAACAAAAAACTAAATGATGTGCAATCTGGTGCATGATGTTTTCTTTTTAAACAACAAAATGCATAGAACTCCTACTTTACAACCTTGCTCATCATTCGTGACAACTCTGTGCTGTGACAAATCAACCCTTTACAAGATTATTTACCTTTAGAATTCCTGAATATAAGTTTATAAAGCCAAACAACCTCACAGATGTGGGTAAATATGAATATGAATGAGTCAGACAGCCTGCTGTAGTGGTGGGAGGAAAAAAAATCCCTTCTCAAAATCCCGCTGTTATAATCCTTGATCCATGTCACTTGATTGACATCATGATCTCTTTAGGGTTTGAAAGCTCAGCTCTCCTGCCATTATCTAAGACTCTTAATGAGTGTAAACAATTACTGGCATCTGAGCACCACTGACCTTGCCC